TGTTGAATTTTGTCAAAAGCTTTTTCTGCATCTATTGAGATGATCATATGGCTTTTATGTTTCAATTTATTAATATGGTGTATCACATTGATTGATTTGCATATATTGAAGAATCCTTGCATCCCTGGGATAAATCCTACTTGATCATGGTGTACGATCCTTTTAATGTGTTGGATTCTGTTTGCAAGTATTTTGTTGAGGATTTTTGCATCTATATTCATCAGTGATATTGGTCTGTAATTTTCTTTTTTTGTAGTATCTTTGTCTGGTTTTGGTATCAGGGTGATGGCGGCCTCATAGAATGAGTTTGGGAGTTTTCCTTCCTCTGCAGTGTTTTGGAAGAGTTTGAGAAGGATGGGTGTTAGCTCTTCTCTAAATATTTGATAGAATTCACCTGTGAAGCCATCTGGTCCTGGACTTTTGTTTGTTGGAAGATTTTTAATCACAGTTTCAATTTAATTACTTGTGATTGGTCTGTTCATATTTTCTGTTTCTTCCTGGTTTAGTCTTGGAAGGTTATACCTTTCTAAGAATTTGTCCATTTCTTCCAGGTTGTCCATTTTATTGACATAGAGTTGCTTGTAGTAGTCTCTTAGGATGCTTTGTATTTCTGTGGTGTGTGTTGTAACTTCTCCTTTTTCATTTCTAACTTTATTGATTTGAGTCCTCTCCCTCTTTTTCTTGATGAGTCTGGCTAGTGGTTTATCAATTTTGTTTATCTTCTCAAAGAACCAGCTTCTAGTTTTATTGATCTTTGCTATTGTTTATTTCTATTTCATTTATTTCTGCTCTGATCTTTATGATTTCTTTCCTTCTGCTAACTTTGGGTTTTGTTTGTTCTTCTTTCTCTAGTTCCTTTAGTGTAAGGTTAGATTGTTTATTTGAGATTTTTCTTATTTCTTGAGATAGGCTTGCATAGCTATAAACTTCCCTCTTAGAACTACTTTTGCTGCATCCCATAGGTTTTGGATCATCGTGTTTTCATTGTCATTTGTCTCTAGGTATTTTTTGATTTCCTCTTTGATTTCTTCAGTGATCTCTTGGTTATTTAGTAACGTATTGTTTAGCCTCCATGTGTTTGGTTTTTTTTTACGTTTTTTTCCCTGTAATTCATTTCTAATCTCATAGCATTGTGGTCAGAAAAGATGCTTGATATGATTTCAATTTTCTTAAATTTACTGATGCTTGATTTGTGACCCACGATGTGATCTATCCTGGAGAGTGTTCCTTGCGCATCTGAGAAGAAAGCGTAATCTGCTGTTTTCGGATGGAACGTCCTATAAATATCAATTAAATCTATCTGGCCTATTGTGTCATTTAAAGCTTCTGTTTCCTTATTTATTTTCATTTTGGATGATCTGTCCATTGGTGTAAGTGAGGTGTTAAAGTTCCCCACTATTATTGTGTTACTGTCTCTTTCCTCTTTTATAGCTATTAGCAGTTGCCTTATGTATTGTGGTGCTCCTATGTTGGGTGCATATATATTTATAATTGTTATATCTTCTTCTTGGATTGATCCCTTGATCATTATGTAGTGTCCTTCCTTGTCTCTTGTAACATTGTTTATTTTAAAGTCTATTTTATCTGATATGAGTATTGCTACTCCAGCTTTCTTTTGATTTCCATTTGCATGGAATACCTTTTACCATCCCTTCACTTTCAGTCTGAATGTGTCCCTAGGTCTGAAGTGGGTCTCTTTTAAACAGCATATATATAGGTCTTGTTTTTGTATCCATTCAGCAAGCCTGTGTCTTTTGGTTGGAGCATTTAATCCATTCACGTTTAACATAATTATAGATATGTATGTTCCTATTACCATTTTCTTAATTGTTTTGGGTTTGTATTTGTAGGTTCTTTTCTTCTCTTGTGTTTCCCACTTAGTGATGTTCCTTTAGCATTTGTTGTAGAGCTGGTTTGCTGGTGCTGAATTCTCTTAGCTTTTGCTTATGTGTAAAGCTTTTGATTTCTCCATTGAACCTTGCTGGGTAGAGTAATCTTGGTTGTAGTTTCTTCCCTTTCATCACTTTAAGTATATCATGCCACTCCCTTCTGGCTTGTAGATTTTCTGTTGAGAAATCAGCTGTTAACCTTATGGGAGTTCCATTGTATGTTATTTGTCGTTTTTCCCTTGCTGCTTTCAATAATTTTTCTTTGTCTGTAATTTTTGCCAATTTGATTACTATGTGTCTCAGCATGTTTCTCCTTGGGTTTATCCTGTACGGGACTCACTGTGCTTCCTGGACTTGGGTGGCTATTTTCTTTCCCATGTTAGGGAAGTTTTTGACTATAATCCCTTCAAATATTTTCTCTGGTCCTTTCTCTCTCTCATCTCCTTCTGGGACCCCTAAAATGTGAATGTTGTTGCATGTAATGTTGTCCCAGAGGTCTCTTAGGCTGTCTTCATTTCTTTTCATTCTTTTTTCTTTATTCTGTTCCACAGCAGTGAATTCCACCATTCTGTTTTCCAGGTCACTTATCCGTTCTTCTGCCTCAGTTATTCTGCTATTTTAGTGTAGTTTTCATTTCAGTTATTGTATTATATTGTTCATCTCTGTTTGTTTGTTCTTTAATTTTTCTAGGTATTTTTTAAACATTTCTTGCATCTTCTTGATCTTTGCCTCCATCGTTTTTCTAAGGTCCTGGATCATCTTCACTATCATTATTCTGAATTCTTTTTCTGGAGGGTTGCCTATCTCCACTTCATTTAGTTGTTTTTCTGGAGTTTTATCTTGTTCCTTCATCTGGTACATAGCCCTCTGCCTTTTCATCTTGTCTGTCTTTCTTTGAATGTGGTTTTTGTTCCACAGGCTACAGGATTGTAGTTCTTGCTTCTGCTGTCTGCTGTCTGGTGGATGAGGCTATCTAAGAGGCTTGATGGGAGGGAGTGGTGGTGGGTAGAGCTGAGTGTTGCTCTGGTGGGCAGAGCTCAGTAAAACTTTAATCCACTTGACTGTTGATGGGTGGGGCTAGGTTCCCTCCCTGTTGGTTGTTTGGCCTGAGGCAACCCAGCACTGGAGCCCAGCTGGGCTCTTTGGTGGGGCTAATGAGGGATTCTGGGAGGTCTTATGCCAAGGAGTACTTCCCAGAACTTCTGCTTCCAGTGTCCTTGTCACCATGGTGAGCCACAACCCCAACCCCGCCGCCGGCCTCTGCAGGAAACCCTCCAACACTAGCAGGTAGGTCTGGTTCAGTCTCCCCTGGGGTCACTGCTCCTTCCCCTGGGTCCCGATGCACACACTACTTTGTGTTTGCCCTCCAAGAGTGGAGTCTCTGTTTTTCCCGTCCTGTCAAAGTCTTGCAATCAATTCTCACTAAGCTTCAAGGTCTGATTCTCTAGGAATCCCTCCTCCCATTGCCAGACCCCCAGGTTGGGAAGCCTGATGTGGGGCTCAGAACCTTCACTCTGGTGGGTGGACTTCTGTGGTATAAGTGTTCTCCAGTCTGTGAGTTACCCACCCACCAGTTATAGGATTTGATTTTACTGTGATTGCACCCCTCCTACCGTCTCATTGTGGCTTCTCCTTTGTCTTTTGATGTGGGGTATCTTTTTTGGTGAGTTCCAGTTTCTTCCTGTTGTTGATTGTCCAGCAGCTAGTTGTGATTCTGGTGTTCTCGCAAGAGGGAGTGAGAGCATGTCCTTTTACTCCGCCATCTTGGTTCCTCTCCTCCTAAGGAAGTCTTAAATGTCCTTCAAGTGCATTAGAAAGTAGATACTTAACATATGATACCTGCGTTGTTTATGTCACAGAGTACTGGCATTTTTACAGAAAATATAAGTCTCTACAGTGTGTACATTGTGTACTTACAGTTAACTGATGAGTATAATGAAATAAAAGCAGGTATTTCTTCTTATAATCCCAGGAGAAAAATGGAACCATCTTCTGGGAGAAGTTTGGGTTGTGCCATCATGGATAAGGTAGACTATTAACCTATAATTATCTTCAAGGAAATTTTCTTTGGACTTGTCTGAACATGGGATGAACAGTGAGTAATGTTGGGCAGACGAAATGAACTAGGCTCTGGAATTTGTCCTTTTCAAAGGATAGGAGAGAATAACTGTTTTCAGTTTCTGGATCTTTCATGAAGCATATGAAATCTGTATTAGTCCCTTTCTACCCTGTCAGTAGTATTTATTTTTTACTCATTTAAATGGCAGTGCATATAATTCAGCAATGTGTATTGAGTCTGTCCTCCTTATTCATGGATTTTGTATTTGCAAGCTCACCTTCTTGTGCCTTTTGCATTTCTGTGCTTTTTGTTGGTGATTTTGCTGTTGGAAATGGCTCCCCAGTGTAGTACTGAAGTACTGCCTAGTGTTCCTAAGTGTAAGACGGCTGTGATGTACCTTACAGAGAAAATGCATGTCTTGGGGAAGCTTCGTTCAGGCATGAGTTACAGTGCTCTTGGCTGTGGGTTGAATGTTAACAAATGAACAATGTATACTAAATGAGGTGTCTTTAAATGGAAACACACATAGAACCATACAATAAGGTTGTGTATTGATTGATTGGTGCAAGTGTTGGGGCCAGAAACTAGCAGAAACCTAATCCTGTATTTCCTCTTAGAACAATGGTTCAGCATCACTAATTTAGTGTTGGTGGCAACTATATAGAACATAACTACTACAAATAATGAGAATCAACTGTATTAAACCTGTTTAATAACTAGTTAGTGGATGAGGCCCTAGAGATTCACAGGCCATAGGCACAGTTCCTGTCCCCAGAGGGCTCACCATCGATGGGAGAGATGGACTCACAGTGGAATGATTAGAGAAAGTGCTGTGACAGACGCAGGCAGTGCTAAGGGGAACTTGACTTTGCCTGGAGCTGTCCAGGTAATAGCACGCAGATCAGTAGCTGCATGTCCGAGAAAAGGGTTGAAACAGAAAAGAAAAGACGTACAGCATGGAGAGACGTGAAGTAAATGAGGTTTTATGTTTATTTTTAAACAGAGCATAAGTTGGTGGGATTCTGACTCATGTTGGTACCATGTTGTTGCAGAAATACACTGTGGCAAAATGCTTCGACCTCTTGCCAAAATGAACACTGAAGAAAAATGAAGAACAGTGAAGAACGCCAACGAAAAGCTGCAGACCAGAAATAGCCCCACTCCTCTGGAGTCTGATTCATCCACAGCCATCATAAAAAAGGTTGGGGAATAAATTACATTACGTTTTTTTCCCTTTAAATTTTTATTTTAACTGATACAATGGTGAGAAGACAAAAAAGTACCTTTTTTATTCAACGTATACTTATTGGGTGACTTCTACATGCTTGCATATTGTTCTAAGCAATTAGGGATACAATAGTGAACAAAAAAGACAGCGGTATGGCTTTGAAGGAGCTGACATTCTAGTGGGAGGAAGAAAGTAAGTAGAATAGGCCCTCTGTATTCTCGGGTTCTGCATCCTCATTGAATCCTTGGATGGGGAACCCAGGATACAGAAGGCCAACTTTACTGTGCCATTTTATATAAGGGACTTGAGCATCCGTGGATTTTGGTATCCACAGGGGTCCTAGAACTAATCACCGCTGGATACCAAGGGATGATTGTAAATCAATGCAAAGGAAACTGGCAGCCATTTATAATGTTTATAAACATGATAAACAGGTTAATGAGGTAGAGAATGAATAAAGGGCTACTTCCGTTTGAGTGTCAGAGCAGAACACTCAGAGAATTTTTAGTTGAATGATGGAAGAGAGCCAGCATGGTAAAAGTTTGAAGATAGGACCTTGCATGTGCTGTGAACCAGGATCCAAACAGATAATGTTCAAGGCTCGATCGGAAAGGAGGCCTTTATTGCTTTGAGAGGGTATTTGGAGAAGCATGATGTAGAGAAGAAGTCGGAGAGGCTTTAGCCATGGAATAGTATCTTGATTGTACTCCAACGAAGGCAGAAGCCATTGGACAGTTATTAGAGAAGTGAATTTATATTACATTTTTAAAAGGCCATCCTGCTTTATTTAGCTAAGGGGTAGGGGGCTCAGTAATAGTGGAAAACAGGGTGCCGTCACCTAGGCGAGAGATGATGATGAGTTGGCTTAGGGACCTGGCATGGGGGATAGATGGATTTAAAATAGATTTTGGATCTCCTTCAACCAGATGAAACTAGATAATCACCAATGCTCTTTATGAATCCCCTAACAGAATTCTAATTGTCATATGTAAGGTATGCTGTCATTTGTGTTTTAATGTACAGTAGTCAACTGGTAATTTTTTTGCTGTTTCAAAGAACAGCTTATGATGTATATATTTGCAGCTTCTGAAACTGAGAGGGGGTTGATGTCACACTGTGAAAAGACATAAAATTCTGCCCTGAAATCTCATGATCAAGGCAGGTTATCTTGCAACACTTTGAGACTTGAGCCTTCCAGACGTTTTTGCAACAACTCTCTTCCTTGCTGCATGGTTCCTGACTTCTGAGAACAGTGTTACATGAGCCACAGAGAGGTAGCTCATGTGAAGGGTACCCTTCTGGATAATGAGTTTTTAAAGGACTAGTAGCTTAGGTTAGTCAAGCATAACCCGAAGACTAAAACTTTCATACTGGATTATTCTTAGGTGGAACATTAAAGGAAAAATGAAAATACTACTTAAAATTGGTGTTTTAAGAAGACAAGAATATGTAAGGGATTAATTTCCAAAATATACAAACAGCTCCTACAGTTCAATATCAAAATAACAAACAACCCAATTAAAAACCGGGCAGAAGACCTAAACAGACATTTCTCTGTAGAAGACATACAGATGGCCAACGGGCACATGAAAAGATGCTCAACATCGTTAATTATTAGATAAATGCAAATCAAAACTACAATGAGGTACCACCTCATACCAGTCAGAATGGCCATCACCAAAAAGTCTATAATAGTAAATGCTGGAGAGGGTGTGGAGAAAAGGAAACCCTCCTACACTGCTGGCAGGAATGTAAATTGATACAGCCACTATGGAAAACAGTATGGAGGTCCCTTAAAAAACTAAAAATAGAACTATCATATGATCCTGAAATTCCACTCCTGGGCATGTATCCGGAGAAAACCATAATTCAAAAAGATACATGCAACCCAATATTCATTGCAGCACTATTTACAATAGCCAAGACATGGCTAAATGTCCATCGACAGATTAATGGGTAAAGAAGATGTGATATATATATACAATGGATATTACTCAGCCATAAAAGAAAGAAATAATTCCATTTGCAGCAACATGGATGGACCTAAAGATTATCATACTAAGTGAAGTAAGTCAGACAGAGAAAGGCAAATATCATATGATATCACTTATATATGGAATCTAAAAAAATAATAGAAGTGAACTTATTTACAAAATAGAAACAGACTCACAGACAGAAAACAAACTTATGGTTTACCAAAGGGGGAAGGAGGAGGAGAGGGATAAATTAGGAGTTTGGGATTAACAGATACATACTACTATATATAAAATAGATAAACAGCAAGGACCTACTATATAACACAGGCAACTATATTCAATATCTTGTAATAACCTATAATGGAAAAGAATCTGAAAAAGAATATATATATATATATATAATATACACACATATATGCATGTATGTATAACTGAATCATTTTGCTGCACACCTGAAACATTGTAAATCAACTATACTTCAGTTTAAAAAAAAAGATAGGAATATGTGGATTCAAGCAATGTTTGCCAGAGAAACTAATGCTCCCCACAGACGGGGCTTCATGTGTTGGAGTGTGTGACCGTTGAGCAAAGCTCACAGGGGCTTGGTGGGAGGAAAAGTAATTATGCAGTGACCTTGGCAGGTGGGTCCAAGATTTCAAGCCCACAGCCACTGTTGGAGCATGGACCGACTTCAAGTCTGTGTTTGGAAGGGTTTTCGTGAAATGGAAACCCAGCCGAATGGCACTTTAAGAGCTCAGCAAAGTACTGAGCCCAGCTTTCCAAGAATCATAACTTTTGGAAACAGTTCTAAATTTGTGTGCTGTAGACCCTTCCTTCCTTCACTCCAAACCCCTATCAAAAAGCTTTAGTTGTCAGAAAAGAGCCTCAGTGCAGCAGTTATATAGTGTCAGATAATTGTAAAGACTCTTGAGTTGCCACAAAGTATACACATAAAAGCAAAGAATAGGGTCCAGCAGGAGAAAGCAAGCTCAGCAAACATCCGAGAGGACTGAGACTTCCAGGTACAGCGCCCACTCCATCACACAGGGTTTACTTTGTCTTCTGATCATGAACCACCAAGATACATGTGTCTCAGAAGAGTCAAGGCTCAAACTCACTGAGGGGTATTTTATATTCCACAACTCAGGTAGCCAAAAGCAGACTTTGCAAACAGGTAAACAGGTGCAAACCATCAATCCGTACAGTTTCAAGAAACAGTATAGACAAGCTGGTACAGGATGCCTGGGGCGGGTTTCGACTTTTAACAGCACATTATAAATCACTAGCTAATGCATTTCACCTCTGTCTTGGCCAAGCATCAATATCATGGTTTCAGGTGCCCTTCAAGATGAGCACAGAGTTACCCAAGATTAACTACAAGTTAACTCTGTCCTCATATACTCAGAGAATTGAGCCATGATGAAAACATCCAAGAAGACTAAAGATGGCACACCAAATTCTGTGCTTGTTTTTGTCATCACTGGGCTAGATACAACTCTTTGATTAGCTGGAGAGATCATTAAAAGGCTAGGCTTTCAAGTGGAATTCAGAATTCCTGGAAGAAGTGGTTAGATTCTGAAGCAATAAGGGTAAAATAAAACTAAGAGTAATATTGTTTTAAGTTGATTTCCCTAGAATCAGACGGTGATTCTAAATTTGGATACTGGTGTGTGTTCGGGGGTGATGCTAGTATACCTTTATAGGGGAGTAGGGATGTGAGATGGGGAAGAGAAGAAAGAAAAGGTGCTTTATCACTGCTGTGACCAAGGCACACAATCTCACTAGGTAATTCTGGGATATAGTATAGAACCTACCTTGGATTTATCCTAACCAAGGGCAAGAAAATTGGGACACATAGCCACCTTCTTCCATCTTCCATGGAAGGGCTGCTCCTCTGGGTGGGAGTGAGGGGTGTTAACTCCCTGGCATTTGTGGCCTGCAATGTATGTGGACCAAGGAAGCCCTCAGGCAAAGAGTTCCAGGTGTTTCCATTGGAAGCCACTATCAGATCAGCATGCATAGAAATGATGATACCAAGGGGTTATGGATGGAGCATCTACAGTTTCTCCTGCAAGACGTGACAACAGTGATGACGATCATGATCCTATTAACAGATTATAGATCATATTAATTAGTCATATTTGCTGAGTAACTCTAAGCCATGTACTATATACTCAATGCTTTATGAACATTTTCTCATTTAATTCTTATTTGTTGAACACTCTGTGCCAGGTTGGGGGCAGAGGGAATATATATCTTATCACCACAATCCTGCAGCATATACATTATTCTAGCCTTCAGTTTATACATGGGCAGATAAAGTTGAGTGAGGTTAACCAAAATCTCTGGAGTAACACATATAGGAAACAGAGTTGGGATTCAAATTCTGGTTTGTCTGCCTCCAAAACAATCCCTTGACCATCCTTATAATCCTTAATTAATTAATTAACCATTGATGTTTTTCTGACACCCATTTATTGAAAAGTTGGCAGGTGCTATTAGGTTTGGGGATACAAAATAAAAATTGCTCCTGTTTTCAAAGAGCTGGAACATTTGTGGAAGAGAAACACAAGAAACTATGTAGTGATATAAGGGGCATTGATGTAAGTATGTTGCAGCTATTAAATAGGATCAAGAAAGAATATACGATGTTGCCACATAACAAATAACTCCATAACTTAGTAGCTTAAGACGGTAAGCAGTATTATTGCTCACGAGTCTATGGTTGACTTGAGGAGTTCTGACCTGGGCTAGGTTTGACTGATCTCAGCTAGATTTTCTCACTTGTCTGCAATTAGCTGACTGGTTGGCTAGGGGTTGGATAGTCTGAGATGGCTTCACTCTCATTTCTGATAATTGATCGGAAGTAGCTGAGGCAACTCAGCTCTCCAGCAGGCTAGCCCAGGCTCGGTCATGTGGGCTGAGGAAGGTTTAAGAGAATGAATGAAAGTGTACAAGGTTTCTTGAGGTCTAGGCTCAGAACAGTCACTTCTGCTT